AGTAAAACAAGTATTACTTAGCTTAAAGTTAGAACTCTCTAATTTTCAAACATACCACTCTTATAGTTGAGACCTCTATAGCTTTTATGAAATAAATGTGTACACAAAATTATATCTCGACACCCGAACAAATGCACGAAATTTGTATGCATTTGTTCAGCCGTTTATTCACATAATGCATGATTTAATGCAAATAAAGACGGTTTATGCAGATAAGTGAGCCCGTTAATCAACCGCATAAAATGATATGTATGATTTTTGACAATTTTTTGTTGTTTGTATATACATATCGCACGTATAATAATATAACGATGTACATATTTCAAAATTTAAAATTTTGTGGGAAAACGCAATCAAAGTTTTATCAGTTCATACAGGTGGTATACAAAAAGATAGGTGGAACGACACATATCTTCGCCACATTTGGGAAGTTTTTATATCCGTTAGACTGAACATATTATACTTATTGCATAATGAAATCTCCAAAATCGCAAATTTCGAGTTACATCTCTATATTATTAAATTTGGGATATGTATATCGCTCATTTTCCAAAAGACTTTCATAACTCAGGAAACGTAACGAAAAAACTTTTTCAAAAGTTCAAAACAATTAATTACTTAAGAAGTAAAATAAAATATTACAACAATGTGGGTTTCAAACGAAAGGGTTCCAAATTATTTCGAAAATATTTTTTCAGTGGGGTTTTCTGTTCAGAAAGTAAAAATCTATTTATATAACAAATTAAACGAAATATGTGGTATCAAACGAAATAGGTTTAGCCTTATTTCAAAACTATTTTTAAAGGAGGCTGCCAGCTGTTAAGAAATTCATTAGTTAACATGTTAAATAAAAAATTTTGATATGGGTGTCAAACGAAAAAAGTTTATTTCGAAAACGTAGAGGGTTGCCACTTGTTAAAAAAAAAAAATTATTGTGAGTATATGTTTTTTGCATTAGTCCATAATTGTTGGCATTGTTTTTTACACACACATGCCCACTTTCATTATTTATTCTTAACATCTTTTGTTTATTCCTTGTATTTATGTATTGTTGGCCTTAATAAACATAGTCGCCCCTGATGATACTGAAAATTTCAGCGAAACGTTGGTCAACGAACGTGAAATAAGAGTTTTATTTGCACCATCAAAATAATGATCGGACTAGCCTACAAGTGTATCAAATATTTTCTAAGAACTGATCGCAACAAAACCAAAAAACAAATAAAATCAATTTAGTTAACAAGTTAAATAAAACATTTTAATATGGGTATCATCGAGAGGGATTTAAGAAAGATTTATTCGAAAATATTTTCGAAGTGGGTTGCCACCTGTTTAGAAATTCATAGTCAGTTCAGTTAAGAAGTTAAATGAAATATTCTGATTTGGGTGTCAAACTAGAGAGGTATGGGAAAGTTGTATTTCGAAAATATTTTTGAAGAGGGTTGCCACCTGTAAAAAAGCCGTCTTTGTTTCGAAATTATTTTCGAAGTGGGTTGTCACCTGTTTAGAAATTCAAAATTGGTTTAGTTAAGAAGTCAAATTAAATATTTTTATATGGGTGTCAAACTAGATAGGTATGAGAAAAATTCATTTCGAAAATATGTATGTATTTTTAAATAAAATATGTCAATAAGGGTATCAAACGAGAAAGGATTTAAAAGCTGTCTCTATTTCAAAAATATTTCGTACGATCATTGCCACCAGTTTATGAGTTTTAAATCAATTTGATCGACAAGTTAAATGAAATCCAATTAATATAATAATAATATTTTGAAGAGTGTTGCCACGATTTTAAGAGTAAAATCCCATTTTTTAGAAGTAAAATCTTGTCAAAAGTTTCTTATGAAAGCCTTTTTCCAAAAATACATATTTTTAAAAAAGGTTATAGATGTCAAACATAGTTTAAAATTTGATGAAATAGTAAATATGGACGATAAACGAAAGATGTTTGAAAAGCTTTATTGGGACAGTTTTTAAGAGGGTGTCACCTGTTTCAAAAATCAGACTTAATTTAAATTAATTACTTTTTGTTTGTAATTGAAAGTTACTTTTTAATTAAATGAACATTTGCAAATTGAAATATTTTTTGTCATTACAGCACAGATTTTCCACTTTTCTCAAATTTCAATCTACATATTTACAACGCATCAACGAAACTTTTTTTTTTTAATATGGAAGAAAATGCGCGAGAAGGTAATTTTTAGCGATTTGAAACTTGCACTCGAAAATTTTATAAAAGTTATGTATAAAAAGTTTGAAATTTTGTTAAAATTTTTTGGAAAATTTATTAATTTTTGTCAAGTTTTTGTTAAGCTTTATTTGTGTGGTTTTTGTTATAGACTGAAAAATAATTTTAATAAAAATAATATTACTTTGACCATAAGTGTATCTACATACATGCATATGTATGTTTTAATGTACGTTAGCAAATTGATATACAATTTATTTGTGTCACCATTTAATATTGCACACACTGCAATTGTGTCTTAAGAAGTTGAGTAGGTTTCATTTCGTTCTTTTTTATTTTTTCTCCTTTTTTGCTTAAAGACGCAACGTAGTGCAATAATTGTACCCATTTTTTGTATAATTTACCCCGTTCACATGCATCAGTTTTTTTTTTGCTGTTGTTGTTGCTGTTTCTGTCGCTGCTAATAAGCCTACTCTACTTTCCGCTATGTGCCATAATCGCTGCTTATAAAAAAAACAGAAAGAGAATGCACCATAGCGCCACATGAACAAGTAAAAAATAAAATAAATACAAAAAAGTTTGCGAAGGTGTGTAGATACATATGTATCTATGTATGAGTGGGCAGCACCAGCGGAGCTGTTGTGCGACTGAAGAGAACAAATATGAAATAGATTAACTAATAAATTTTTTTTTTTAATATGCAGTGTAGTAATTAAATTGAGTAACAATGTATGAGTTTGCAAAAAAAAAACAAATACCTACATAAGTATTTTTTTCTAAAAACTAACAACAAAAAAATGCTTTGATTGCGTCGGTGCATAGTGCAATTGCATTATTTTGTGTCACACTGCATCTACTAATTTACATAGGAGCAAACAAATGTTCATACATATGTAAGTATGTATGTTTGATGTACGCTAATATGTGTGTTTACTGTTGTATTTGCTTTGACTTGTATGCCACTTGGCATATTGATTTTCTACACACGCCACCATACCGCCGCTCTATACCCTATACCCTTTAACTACATTTACTGTGGCGCTCCTCCATAGCTTGTATGCCCACAATGTACGAGTGCATGCATAGCAGCACGTCACTGCACTACATTCACTATTGTATTCTCTACACTTTTTTTCTAATTATAAATTCTTTCAGCCGGCTTGGCAGCATTTTGTGTGGGGCTCGGCTCTGCTTAAAAATTTCTGTTGCTGTGATTTCATAAAATTTTATTTTTTAATATTAGTTGAGTTTTCATTTTATCAGTTGAATTCTGCAATTTCATTCGTCGCTCTTTAGGCGTTTTATTACTAAAACACCCAACCCCTTATGGTACGAACGCTATATATGTACATACATATGTATAGGTATAAAAGCGGCAGTTAGAAGTAGGGAGATCGCCAGAAAATTGATTTTTCTTGTGCCAACTCGGTGCCACGAAATGTACTGCTGCTTCTGCTGCTCATCTTAACCACCAAGCAGCGAGTGCTTATTTGTTTAATTTTTCAATAATGAAAACTTGCCTTTTATAAATATGTACATATTTTCTATTGCATTGTGTGTTTGTATAAATTTGCAACTCTTACCTCTCAATTATCTTTTATTCATTTATTTAGTTCAATACGCAAACTATTTTTATTTTTATTTTTATGCACTTAATCATCACTATATGTATTTATTTGCATTAATGTACTTCTGTTCTTGCAGTGCATAGATTTCTTTCTCTATTCTACTATGCTCCAATAACTTTTTTCTTGTTCACATTGCAGCTAAATTTGCATCAATTTATTTTTTCCTGCACTCTTTCAATCCAATTTTTTAAAGTTAATATTGCATTTTTTCATGAGAATACTTGCACTAATGCATTTTTATTTTGATGTACTTTTTAAATTTATACACTTTTTGGCTTTAACATTTCACAAGCCGACCTTTCCACTGTGTGAGAAAATGAAAATTTTAAGTGGCTCTGCCTCATTTCTCCTCATTCGCTAATTTTCAAGTAACCGCTTTTGTTCATTTAACTTGCACTCTCACGGAATTTTTCTTCTGGACTGCTGTCAAATAACACGGTCGTTAACGGTGTTGTTTTCTAGGGAGAATCGGAAGAGATATGGATGGAATCGAGCGGTATGTGGGTATATTCGAAACACAGGGTAATCCTTTACTGAAATTCAATGGATATTTCGGGCTATCGGATATGTTGTTAATCGATTTCCGGTTCAGTGTCATTTTTAAATAATTTAAGCCCATTTCCAAAGCAATTGTATATAAAATGCGATGTTTTCTTAGCTTTCTGTTGCATTACCGATGGCATATTACATAGGAAATAGTAGTAGAGCAAACACAACCATGCTATGTATTTTATTGTTGCTTGAGAAACCTAGAATTTCAAAACAGAAAGAACTGTAATTACATTCGGCCAATCAAAAGCAAGAAAAAATGATGCTATTGTATGTGTTTATATGAATGTAGGAAAGTTTGACAGTTCAGTTTTTCACGAAATAGAAAGAAATTAAAACTGAAACCCGGCTTCTACTACTTGTTTAATGTGCCTTGGAATTACCTAAAAATAAGCAATTTTAATACTATCGTAAAAAATGATATATTTCCCCAGCATGAACCAACTAACAAGATTATTCGTTCGTTCATGTTTCCCCAGTCTATTTGCCTCCGTAAATAATTCATTTCCGTTCTTCTGCGTTCAATTTTCACACATGTTCCTCTTTCATTCGTACCGATTCCATCAGCTGATTTCTGGTTTTGTCAAAAGTGACATCTTTCAAAAGAACCGTCTGATTGCTACTGTCATTTTTTATTTCACTTCCATTAATTTACGTTTTTTTTTATTGCTGCACGTTTTGGTGAGGGAAGTGATTAAATAAGCAAAAAATCCACAAAATTAAAAGCGCTTGGCTGTAAATGCTTACGTTGTGGCAGCAGATTATTAGAAAAAAATAATAATTTATAACAAAAACGAACGCAACTATTAATAAAACTAATTGTTTAGAAAGCAAAGCGCAGAATTTGGGGTGTGAAGTGACAACAACAAAATAAATAGATTAATGTTTATTAGACAAGCACTGGTATTATGTTGTAGACAACAACTGCACACACGATCCATATTAAACGCAAACAACACAAGGTATGTAATTAGAATGGCAATTAGGTGACATGCGAATCGTTAATACCGTGGCCATGACCATGCCATGACATTACCTATTATTTTGGAAAATAATTTTTTACTTTTTTTCAATTCATACTCAATTTCACAACATTTGTAGCTTTGGAGAAAAATCCAGTTTATTGTTGGCGCGCGGAAAAAGCAATTTTATATTTCAGCGTAAAATGAGCGCTTCATCCACTGCAGCTGCTGGCGAATCGGGTGGTGTTAATAAATTGCCGTTGAAAAAGCCACAAGAGCTAGAGGCTATATTGCGGTGAGTAAGCAAGTTGTTAATGAATGCCAGATATTTGCACAAAAACAATGTACACATGAAAACTTGTTTTAGTCAAGTTGCATACCAGCCACAAGTAACTAACATTTCTTTTTTACATTCCTTACATAGCTTAAATGACATTGCCAAATCCGAGCAAGACACACGCGACTATCGCGGTCTGCAATTGGAAAATGGTTTGAAAGTATTACTAATCAGTGATCCAAAAACGGATGTTTCCGCAGCAGCATTGGCAGTTCAAGTTGGGTAAGGAATTTGCTATAACTTTACTTTTTTATATTTAGTTTAGAAATCTACAAAAACTATTTATGCAGGCATATGTCCGATCCCGATGAATTACCTGGCTTGGCACATTTTCTCGAACATATGCTCTTCTTGGGCACCGAAAAGTATCCACATGAGAATGGCTATACCACTTATCTATCGCAGAGTGGCGGCGGCAGCAATGCGGCTACATATCCGCTAATGACCAAGTATCATTTTCATGTCGCGCCCGATAAGTTGGATGGCGCATTAGATCGTTTTGCCCAATTCTTTATAGCGCCTTTATTTACGGCCAGCGCCACGGAACGCGAAATAAATGCGGTAAAGTATTTGCTCTCCTAGGAAGAGATGAAATTTAAGCTTAAACGTTTGCTTTTTTCATTTTCAAGGTTAATTCGGAACACGAAAAGAATCTGCCTAGCGATATATGGCGCGTAAAGCAAGTGCATAAGCATTTGGCGAAACCCGATCATCCCTATTGCAAATTTGGAAGTGGTAAGTTAGTGTATTATTGTTTAAAAGTATGCAACTTTCAAGCTTTATTTTAAAAAATTGATATGATACATTTATCAAATTTTACAGGCAATAAGGTTACTCTTCATGACATACCCAAATCGAAGAATATCAATGTGCGCGAAGAGCTATTGAAATTTCACAAAAAATGGTATTCTTCCAATATCATGAGCTTGGCAGTGCTAGGCAAAGGTATGTAAATATATTAAACTATCTCTTAGATTACTATAACCAAGCTTTTGAATTTCTCTACAGAGTCACTAAACGATCTCGAAGACATGGTCATTGAAAAGTTCTCGACTATTGAGAATAAAAATGTAGAAATACCAACTTTTCCGCCCGAACCATTCGCTGAGGATAAATATGCGCAGAAAACTTACATTGTGCCAATAAAAGATTTGCGTTCGTTAACAATCAGTTTCACGACAGCGGACCTAACAGAGTTCTATAAATCAGCGGTTAGTACGAACTACAGACAAGTTTGATTTCAATAAATTTTAAACTTTTGCATAAAATTTTAGCCTGACAGCTATCTTTCGCATTTACTCGGTCATGAAGGTAAAGGCAGCATTCTATCTGAGTTACGCAATCTTGGTTGGTGTAATGAGTAAGTGTAATGCATGAAATGATATTGAAAAATATTTATTCTCATAATTTTTTAAACTCACAGCCTCATGGCCGGCCATCAGAATACACTGAACGGTTTTGGCTTCTTCGAAATCGTGGTCGACTTAACGCAGGAGGGCATGGAGCACGTTGACGATATAGTGAACATTATTTTTCAAGTGCGTAAAGCATTATAGTACTCATGATTTGTTCTTAAATAAATTTAATTTTTTCAGTATCTAACCATGCTGCGCAAAGAGGGGCCGAAGAAGTGGATTTTCGATGAATATGTAAACATAAATGAAATACGCTTCCGCTTCAAGGACAAAGAGCAGCCAGAAAATATGGTCACGCATGCGGTTTCAGCAATGCAGGTGTGTAAATGTTACACATAAAAAATTTACTTTTACTAATAATTACCATAAACAAACGTATTAAAATTAATAACATATAGATTTATCCACTCGAAGAAGTGCTAACCGCACCCTACCTAAGCAATGAATGGCGTCCAGATCTGATTACCAAGCTTCTAGAAGAGCTGGTGCCAGAGAAATGTCGCATTGTACTTATTGGTCAGAGCTATGAGCCGCTATGTATTGAAAGCGAACCATATTACAAAACTAAATATGGTACAAGCAAAATTGAAGCCGACACACTGAGGGTATGTAAACGAAAGATGAAAAAAATAAAATAAATTTGCTAAACTTCTATGTTTCTACTTCAGCGCTGGGAAAGCTGTGGCCTCAACAAAAACGTTGCACTCCCTCTACCAAATGCTTTTATACCGGTTAATTTTGATTTAGCACCAGAGGATGCAGACCTGTCAAAGCATCCTAGCATTATAAAAGATACACCAATTTTACGCGTTTGGCATAAGCAGGATGACCACTTTCAGAAGCCAAAGGCATGCATGACATTTGATATGTCCAATCCAATCGCCTATCTCGATCCCCTCAATTGCAATCTGAATCAGCTAATGGTTTCACTACTCAAAGATCAATTGAATGAGTACTTGTATGATGCAGCGTTGGCGGGGTTGAAACTGCAAGTGAACACAAAATCATCTGGCATTGAGGTGTGTATACAAATACACTTAAGATTTGCAATGACTAATGTTAAGCTACTAATTTCTTATTTTGTATGACAGTTTTCTATACGAGGCTATAACGACAAGCAGTTAGTGCTATTAGAAAAAGTATTGGATCATTTATTCGATTTCAAGATCGAGCGCAAGCGTTTCGAAATTCTACGCGAGGAATTTATGCGTTCGCTAAAGAATTTCAAGGCCGAACAACCTTACCAGCATTCAATTTATTACTTGGCTTTAATACTCACAGAGAATGCGTGGGCCAATAGCGAGTTGCTGGATGCGATGTCGTGTAGGTTATTATGTTGAAGGGTTTATTTGCTATTCTAATTATTTCGTGTATTTTTATTTAACATGCAGTGGTCACCTATGAGCGTGTAGTAGATTTTGCGCGCAACTTTTTCCAACGCTTGCACACTGAGTGTTTCATTTATGGCAATGTAACCAAGGTGCAAGCATTAGATGTTGCTGAGCGTGTTAATAAGCGTTTGGAGGCAACAAATTCAACAGTTTTACCACTTTTGGCACGTCAAATGCTCAAGAAGCGAGAGTACAAATTGTGTAGCGGTAAGTTGCATAGCTAATGGTTTGTTTACACCGTTTTGTATGTTGGAAATTTATTTTATTTTCCTACATAGGCGACAGTTATTTGTTCGAAAACCAGAATAACTATCACAAAAGTTCTTGCTCTCAATTGTATTTTCAATATGGGCCACAAACAGATCGTTCGAATATTATGTTGAATTTGATTGCGCAAGTTTTATCGGAACCCTGCTATGATGTGCTGCGCACAAAGGTGAGTGAATTCAATGTACTGGTAGTCTATATGAGGGGCACCGTATTTGCGCATATGCAAACTGTGCATTTAGACATTATTATGCATTATTTCGGTTTTTGTTATATGCATCAATTCGGTTTTCAACCGAATCCTTAAGAGCGGTCGAAGACCGTTTACGCAAAAGGAAGTTTTGCGCAAAAATACTTCCGCCCCCCTTTTCAGACAACATAGAAAAGATAATTCTACTTCGTAAGCGTTATAATCCTTAAGCGTTCCCACGACAGTCGGGTCTACGTAACCGGAACGACCCAGATTTATATCTGGCCAAGGACTGTCACTCCAGCAACACTCCCCAAAAAGTCTTTGGGAGTTTATATGCTGTTACAACAACAACAACAAAGAAAATCTGCGAAAGAAAATCTGCACAAAAATACTTCCGTCCCTATTTTGCGGTAACACAATTCTACTTAGGGTTATAATCTCTAAGCGCAGCCGAAGGCTGCCTACGCAGAAAGAAATTCGTTTTCATGTATGGATTATTTCGGTTTTTGTCATAGGCATTATTTCGGTTTTGAACCGAAACTGTGCATATATGCATTACTTCCGTTTTCTTATATGCATTACTTCAGTTTTGAGTGGAAACCTGTGCATGTTTGCATTATTTCGGTTTTCAACCGAAACTGTGCAAATATGCATTATTTTGGTTTTTTTTCATATGCATTATTTCGTATGCACAGTTTCCATATGCACAATCTCTATGTAAAATTTAGATTGGGTTTTGAAAATTTTTGAATGGCTTTTAAATTACTGCTCTAATCTTATAAACAAATTTACTGCCAGAGAGTTGGCGGATTAAGTGCCCAATACCTAATTCTCACTCAAAGTATGTATGTTTGAGTGTGAAGCTATGGTTGCTCTCTTTGGAGTCCAATAACCTTCTTTGAACCTTCTAATAATATTATATACCCTGGATTGTTGCAATAACAACAACAAACACGTCAAACAAAACAAACTACATTTTTAATGCTCTTTTATATAGTGACCCGTTACATAAGTATTGGTGTATTGCTTTATTTTTTGCCTTGGTTTTGGCCTCCCTGACCGCCCGAAGGTTGTCCCCTGCCACGTCCCGTACCAGCCATGCCCGAGTTCGATGATGCTTGTCCATTTGAACTGGATTGGTCATTACCGCTAGTTTGAGCATTAGCAAAGGCCTGAAATTAATAAGAAAATAGATTTGGTTTAATAGTAGCAATTAAGATAGTGAAGCGAAGAAACATTTTGGCCTACATGCAGAACATCCAAGGTTAAATATACGGGTTATTTATTACCTCAAAGTGAAATTATATTAAATAAAATTTGAAATACAATGGAAAACTAGACTCGCTATAAATGTATCGGCACAGCGTCACATATTAACGATAGAAAAAATTCGGCACTTTATAGGATAAAAACACAGTTTTTGTATTTTGCACACATCGAACACATACTATTTATGTTTTACATACATACATAAGTATGTACATCGAGACAACGTGCCGCCGTAACAGCATCTACAGCGATGGGCTTCAAATTTGGTAGTTTATAAACTTCCTATCTTTCTTCAGTAGCACGCTCTGAGTATACAGTAAAGCCAAAAGCTTTCGATTGATGCGTTAGCGTTTTTTTTTTTTAATTTCTCGGCAATTGCTTAAAGGCAGAGCTGGCCACTTCTGATGATTGCCTGCCATCTTCGATCGTTTCTAGTACACTTGAGAATTTTGAGCGTAGCAATTTTACGCTGGTCCTCTGTAAAATCAATGTTCTGTCCTTTATCCTGGATCTGTTGGAAACTATGAAATGTGCCAGTTGAAGTGCTCTTAGTAATCTTAAACACCCTCAGCACAAGCAGCACGAGTTATTGTAGTTCTGAAAACCGGACAGCAACATTCTACCGACAGCTCTTCAAGTTGTCTAAACGCATATTTCTGAATCTGGTTGCAGTTTACTAGTCATCTGTCGATTTGGCAGACCAAAATTCGATCAAGGAAATAATCTTTAATTTAGTTGTTTCAATGGTAGCATTACAGTGATATTGATTTTCAAAATAATATCGCAAATTTGCGTAACGTTCCCACGACAGCCGGGTCTTCGCCACCGGAACGACCCAATGACTAACGTACCCGCTTACCCCCAACAATTTTGGGTAATTTGTATGCTGTTTAAATAACAACAACGGGGTTATTTTTCAGAAAACACAAAATTTTTTAAAAAACCAAAAACAAATCGCTTGTAAATTTCAATAGTAACAAATATGATTTATTGCAAAGAAATTCGGATAATGCTTCTCTTGTTTAATTTTTTTTAACTCCGAAATGTTAATTACAAGCCTTTATTCCTTGGTTTACTTTTCTAACTTGTGGTGCTGTTGCTCATGCTAGGTCCCATCCCACCCATACCAGGTTCCATGCTAGATCCTACCCCACCTCCAGTACCCGTACTAGGTCCCATGCTGGTTCCTATCCCGTTTCCTGTACCCATTCCAAGTCCTATACCACCCATACCAGGTCCGATTCCGCCCATATTAGGTCCCGTGCCACCCATGCCAGGACCCATTCCACCCATGCCTGGACCCATTCCACC